TTTTTTTTTTTTTTTTTTTTTTAAATATTAAACTGCTCCCCAGGTTTAAAAGAAGAGAAAGTCAAAGGGGAGGAAATTTATATTTCAACATTGAATCACCAGGAACGTGTAATAAATGCTTATATTAGTTATAAACAGAATGTCTAGAAATGAAATACCCAAAACTCACACTGGCAATTAAAACTCTTCATAGTAAGACCTCATCACAACTTGCGGGATTATAATACCGTTCTTAGTGGAGTCCTGGTGTAGCACTGTTAGGATAAGCACTCAAACATAAGGTCAGTTTGAACTACAAGGTTAGTGGTTCAAACTCACCAGCCGCTCCTCAGAAACCCTGTACAGGTTGCTATGAATCGGAACCGGCTAATAGCACTTAACAACAGTGTGGCCCGACTTTTTCCCTGAGAGGAGAAAAGGCTGGCATGTTCCTCTGTGCCCTGTCTGGCACGCAGTCAGAAATATGGAACCTGTGCTGTGTGCAGGCCCTGGTGCACCAGAGGAGGCAAGAGAAGCTGTGAGGAGCTACACAGAAACATGCTTCCCAGAAGCCCAAGTGAACCCACTGGGCAGCTCAGTTACGAAAGTGGTTAAAATTCTTTAAAAATTAAATTCAACTCAGACCTTTGCAGAATGTGTGAAGTGTCCTCTGGTTGGTACAAATGGCAAGTGCTCAACTCTTAACCGAAAGGTAGGCAGTTCAAACCCAGCAGTGGTGATTCAAAGGACAGACCTGGCAATCTGCTTCCAAAAGCCTTGAAAACCCTGTGGAGCAGTTAGACTCTGCACACATGGGATCACCATGAGTCGGACACAACTGACAACCAACAACAGCATCTGAGGCAGTTACAGAATCACTATGCTGGTCCCACCTCCTCCGTCACTTTTCCTATTTTACAAGTAAGGAAACTAAAGCCCAAGATTACTGGAGTGGCCTTGCTCTAGGAGGTGTGGTCATCAGTATCAGGGCCTTCTGATGAGGTTTTTCTGTAGGGGAACAGAACCAACAGCATGGCTGGACCTGGACCCTCTCCACAGCCTTTTCTTGTCTCTTCCCTCTCCACAGAGCCCCGCCTCCGGTTCACGAGGCCCCTGCAGGATGTGGAGGGTCGAGAGCATGGCATTGCTGTGTTGGAGTGTAAAGTCCCCAACTCCCGCATCCCCACTGCCTGGTTCCGTGAGGACCAGCGGCTGCTACCCTGCCACAAGTATGAGCAGATCGAGGAGGGCACTGTCCGGCGCCTCATCATTCACCGGCTGAAAGCCGACGACGATGGTGTCTACCTGTGTGAGATGCGGGGCCGAGTGCGCTCTGTGGCCAACGTGACAGTCAAAGGTCGGCTGGCCATTGGGAGGAGGCCAGGCTGAGGCAGGCAGATGCCCGGACCCTAGTCTGATAAAAGTCCCGTCCACCTCCCAGGACCCATCCTGAAGCGACTGCCCCGGAAGCTTGACGTCCTGGAAGGAGAGAATGCGGTGCTGCTGGTGGAGACTCGAGAGTCTGGAATCGAGGGGCGCTGGAGCCGTGATGGGGAGGACCTGCCAGTCACCTGTCAGAGCAACTCTGGCCACATGCATGCCCTGGTCCTGCCGGGGGTCACCCGGGAGGATGCTGGCGAGATCACCTTTAATGTGGGCAACTCCCGGACCACCACTCTGCTCAGAGTTAAATGTGAGGGCATGAAGGCATGGGGCCAAGTTCTTGGGGTTGGGGCAGGAGAGTGACTGGATGCCTGGGGTGGCAGAATGAATGAAGGTGGAGGAGCTGTGGGAGGTCGGCCGCGGGTCGTGGAATGTACACCATGTCTTTGTCACAGGCGTCAAGCACAGTCCTCCGGGGCCACCCATGCTGGCAGAGATGTTCAAGGGTCACAAGAACACGGTCCTGCTGACCTGGAAGCCTCCTGAACCGGCTCCCGAGACCCCCTTCATCTATAGGCTGGAGCGGCAGGAGGTGGGCTCGGATGACTGGGCTCAGTGCTTCAGCATTGAGAAAGCTGGCGCCGTGGAAGTGCCCGGAGACTGTGTGCCCGCCGAGGGTGACTACCGCTTCCGTGTCTGCACTGTTAGCGAGCACGGACGCAGTCCCCACGTGATGTTCCAGGGCTCCGCCCATCTTGGTGAGCTGATGCCTCCCCGTCACCTCCTCTGTCTTCCCCAGCCCTCAGTCCCCTCTCCTGGTTCTGATGGCTGCTCTCTGCTCCCGCTCCAGTGCCTAATGCTCGCCTGGTGGCAGGCCTGGAGGATGTGCAGGTATACGCCGGAGAGGACGCCGTCTTCTCCCTCGATCTCTCCACCATCATCCAGGGCACATGGTTCCTCAATGGACAAGAGCTTGCCAGTAATGCGCCTGAGGGCCAGGTGGAGCCCGGGGCCCTGCGTTACCGTGTAGAGCAAAAAGGTCTGCAGCATAGACTCATCCTACAGTCGGTGAAGCACCAGGACAGTGGGGCCCTGGTGGGCTTCAGCTGCCCTGGTGTGCAGGACTCGGCTGCCCTCACCATCCAAGGTGGGTGTGTGGGGATGGGGATGCACAGATGGGTAGGGTCAAGAAGGCAGGTGCCATTCCCACTCCTCAAATCTAGGCCAGCGAGTTAAAGGGCATCCATGGTGGGCTCAGATCAAGGCCTCACAGGGGCTATTTTAACACACTTAACACAGACAGGGTGCCCACTGGTATATCCAGACACAGCATTTCCAAACCATCGGAGCCTTTCTAAAAAAAAGTTAAACCACTTGCCATCAAGTGGACTCCACTCTTAACGATCCCATGTGTGTCAGAGTACAACAGGGGTCCAGAGGGTTTCCAGTGACTGATTTTTTGGAAACAGATTAGGTCTGTCTTCCAAGGAGCCTCTGTGTGGGCTTGAACCTTCAACCTTGCAATTAGCAGTGAGCACATTAACCGCCTGCCTCACTAGAGTGCTTTAGGGTTTACATGATTCTACCACATTTGTCATCCCTTTTCAGAGACATGGTGCCTGCCTGCTTCCTGACCTATTGTCTAATACCTAACACTTATGAGGTCTGAAAAGATAGTGGAGTTTTTCCCCTGAACTTTTTGAAGCCCTCTTGTACAATGCAATTTCCTGAGAACCCGGCACAGTTGTTATCACACTACCTCTGATAATTAATCACATTATCTCTACAATTATCTATCTAGAGGGGTTCTGTTACTGTCCCCATTTAATAGATGGGGAAATGGAGATAGAGAACAGCTACATTGAAAACTCCTAGCCGGTAAGTGGTGGAGCTGGGTTATGAACCCAGGCAGTCTGACTCCCAGGTCTTAGACTGGACCACCGCCTGGCAAGCTGGGAAGAAGATAACTCTGAGGAAGCGAGTTGGGAGTGGGGATGGAAAGCTAGTGAGTGGGAGACACTCCCAACATTGGCATCATACCATCTCTGGAGATTGTACTGGCAGCTGAGGAATTCACTGGCACCCAAGCACCACAGGAGGCAGTTAGCTGCCAGGACCACACACAGAGAAGTAGGTGGGAAACACCCAGTGAGCAGAGCCCCATCCACTGACAGCAGGCCCTTCCTGCCTCAGTGACCCTATACAGGGCTTCTGAGACAGCCTCGTCTGTGTCCTGAGCAGGGGATGGTGCTGTTAGCTGTACCATTGCTTATCAGATTTCTTAGTGACCAGAGCAGCTGTCTCTAAGTGTGACCAGAGTCACCTGGTTGATTGTACAGCTTTTCTGGCTTCCCCGCTGGTGGATCTAAGAATGTGCAGTTTTAGCAGACTCCCTATGTTTATGCAACTAAAACTATTGCTCTGAAGATTGATGTGCAAGCCCAAACCTAATTTTAAACTGGAAAAAAATGTCCCTGCACTGACAGCAGTTGGTGGGTCTACACTGAGAACATCAGAAAGGGGTGCATGTCAAGGCAGAGCACACAGAGGGGCGGCGTTTGACCCTCTCCCTACCCCCCTCCAGAGAGCCCAGTGCACATCCTGAGTCCCCAGGACAGGGTGTCAGTTACCTTCACGACCTCGGAGCGGGTGGTGCTGACCTGTGAGCTCTCTCGGGTGGACTTCCCCGCGAGCTGGTACAAGGATGGGCAGGAGGTGATGGAGAGCGAGTCGCTGGTGGTCAAAGTGGATGGGCACAAACACCGCCTCATCCTGCCTGAGGCCAAGGTGCGGGACAGTGGAGACTTTGAGTGCAGGACAGAAGGAGTCTCAGCCTTCTTCAGCGTCACGGTCAGAGGTGAGCATTGCAGCCTGGGTGCTCCCAGCTGAGGTGGACAAGGGCGGTGTAAGCCCTGCCCCTGGTCTGCTTGCCCCATGTGTCATTAGAGGGAGGACCTAGTAGTCAGAGGACACTTTGTCAGGTCACTGCTTCTTAACCCTCTGCTGAGCATGTGACAGGGAACTAAATTCTATTAAGAGAAAGGCAGATGCGAGTGACATCTATTGAACACTGACAATGAGCCAAGTACTATGCAGGCTGTGGTTAATTACTGTTGTGTTGCATCGGACTCCTAGTAGCCGTAGGTGTAAATGAATGAAACATTGCCTGATCCTGTACCATCGTCACAGTTGTCAGTGTTTATGAGCTCATTGCTCAAACTATACTAGGTACTTGAAATATACACTCTTTCATTTACTCTTCAGTAGATGAAAGGCAATGTAGCTCCAGGTGACAGATGAAGATATGCATCCCCAAAGAGGCTATGTGATTTCCCCGTTACCATATGGCCAGCAAACACCATAGCTGGCAGCCAGGCTGAGCTGATCCCACTGTCCCTGCAGCTTTTCAGTCAAAGCTGAGCTGAGCAGGAGTGTCAAGTCCATGGTATGGCTGCTTTAGAACCACCTCAGAAGACTGTCATATATGCCCAGAGCCACCCCAGGCCTTTGAGCAGAACCTGCAGTCACTAATGTTGACCTTCTGGTGGGCAGCTTTGGGAACCATGAGTCTAGCTCTTCTCACTTTAGTAGAAATCCTAGGTACACCCATGGACAGGGAGCTCACCACCTGCCGGCATCAGCCTTCCACTGCCTTACCTCCTACAGTCCTGGGATCACCCACGTGTCTTCCCTCTTCCCTAAGTCTAGACAAACAGTGGCTGCCACTGTATGAGCCGTGTGCCTGCCTGTCTCTGTATCCACACCCAGCCACCTCTGATCCAGCGAGCATTTGGGTGCTACATGAGCTCTTGCTCAGTGTCCCATGGGAGTGCAGAGGGAAGAACCATGTCCTGAGCCCCTTGCACAGCACAGCCTGAACCCTCCCACCCCCAGCCTGTGAGGAAGACAGTAGCTCCCTGACAAGCAGCCAGTTTGGACTCACCTCTCCCATGTGGGGGGTGTCAGTGTGACCCCTTCTCTGTACCCTCCAGATCCTCCAGTGCACATCCTGGAGCCGCGGGAGCATGTGTTCGTACACGCCATAACCTCTGAGTGTGTCATGCTGACCTGTGAGGTGGACCAGGAGGATGCCGCCGTGTGCTGGTACAAGGATGGGCAGGAGGTGGAGGAGAGTGACTTCCTGGTTCTGGAGAGCGACGGCCCCCATCGCCGCCTGGTGCTGCCTGCCGCCCAGCCTCCTGACGGTGGCGAGTTCCAGTGCGTTGCTGGGGACGAGCGCGCCTACTTCACCGTTACCATCACAGGTGGGGGTCGGGCAGTGGGTTAAGGTGGTGTCCTCACTGGAGTAGCTGCTGAGCCCAATTCCCAGGCCAGCCCCACCCCTTCTGCCCAGGCTATCTGGAGTGGTGATAACTGAACTACCAGAAGTGGACAACTTGAGCAAATTCATTCTCTGACAGTTGAGGCTAGACATTCGAATTCAGGGTGCTGGCCCTTGAGAAAAGCCCTTGTCTCTTCTTGCATTTCAGTTCCTTGGCCATCCTCATGTGGTTTGGCATCTGTCTTTCCCCATCTCTGCTTGCTCGCTTGGTTGCTTGCTCAATCTGCCCTGTTTATAAAGAGCTTGACTTAAGGAATCCCCTACACTAATACCCATTGCCATCGATTCTGACTCCTAGCGGCCCCATTGGGTTTCATAGGCTGTCATTTTTACGGAAAGGAGCTCTGGTAGCATCGTGGTTAAACGCTTGGTTGCTAGCCTAAAGGTCGGCTCTTCAGACCCATAAACCAAAAGGTTAGCTGTTGGAGCCCACCAGCTGCTCCCCGGGAGAATAATGTGGCAGTCTGCTTCCATGAAGAGACCAGGACCCACTTGACGGCAACAGACTTGGTGTGGTTTTCAACTTCACAGAAACAGACTGCCACGTCATCTTTCTTCTAAGAAGTGGCAAGTGGGTTCAAACCACTGACCTTCCGATTAGCAGCCAAGCACTGAACTATTGTATCACACGGGCTCCCTCCCCAATACTAAGCAACTTTATTAACACAAGGAAGAAAGCCCATTCCCAAGTAGGATTATAACCCAGGTATATAGTATACAGATTTACAACACATATTTGGGGGGATAATAATGCCTTCCTTTCTCACTGTGGTCAGTCACCCTCTCGAAGTGCATTGTCACAAACACACTGGCCCCAGCATGAAAGAATTCCTGTTCTCTCCAGCCTCCTAAGGAACCTGCAAGGCCACCTTGGGAGGTGGCATTTCTGCTTTTAAGTCCAGGTCTAAAGCGAGGTGACCCATGCACAGGTCAAGATCTGTGGGCTCTGCCCTGTGGAAACCTTAGCGCCATCTGAAGACCCACCTCTCCTCTCTCAGCTTCCCCCTTCCTTGCCCCACCCCCCAGACTATGGAGTAGTTCTGTGGCTGGGACTGTGGGCCCCACCTTGCCCCACGTAGGTGGTGTGCGTTAAGGGTGACTCAGCTGTGAGAGACTCTGCTGTTGGGAGACCGTCTCAGAGGGGTCTTCCTTCTTAAACATGTGGCCCGCTCCCCAGTGGTAGAGGGCTCAGAGTGGGCAGGAGAGCACATTGGCTCGACTCCTCACACCCAGCAGCAGCTGTCCTGTCTTTCAGACGTGTCCTCGTGGATCGTGTACCCCAGTGGTAAGGTGTATGTGGCCGCCGTGCGCCTGGAGCGTGTGGTGCTGACCTGTGAGCTGTGCCGGCCCTGGGCCGAGGTGCGCTGGACCAAGGACGGGGAGGAAGTGGCAGAGAGTCCATCCCTGCTCCTTCAGAAGGAGGACACAGTGCGCCGCCTGGTGCTGCCCGCTGTCCAGCTTGAAGATTCTGGCGAGTACCTGTGTGAAATTGACGACGAGTCGGCCTCCTTCACCGTCACTGTCACAGGTGTGGGCCCCCGCCCCCCGTCCCTTACCCCACCCAAGGACAGAGGACACTCCTGACCCTGGGGGAGCTGGGGAGGCGGATGGAATGCATGCACCAAGGTCCCTGCCCGGGAGAGCCCAAAGCCCAGTGCTGCCTGCGAGTGGACACATTCCCCTGGCTCATTCACTCAGCAATTTCTGTGTGCAGAGTGACCAAAGTTGAGCACATGTGGTCCCTACCCATAGAAATTACAGTCTAGCTGGGGAGGCAGCTGTTAACCAGGGGTCGCAAACAGGCAGTCCCCAGGGTCCCCTGCAGCCCACAAACACGTTATGTTTGGCCTACAGAATCTTACCAAAGTCAGGACAGTTCAAATAACAATCCGGATTTATGCGTCCTCTTGAAAAAGCCAAAGACCCGGCGGCTCTGGTCCCGTTTCCCCCCTTGGAGACGAACAGCTGGCGCTGAGTAGCAGCTGCCCCCATTATCTGGGGCCCACATTCCATAGTCCACCCCCCCCCCAAGTCATACATACTTCTTTTCTGCCTCTTCCCAGGCTGCTTCAGCACTTACCTTACCTCTTAGCCCTTGTGGGCTTTTGAGTTTGCGACCCCTGTGTTAAACCAATAAACATTTAAATAAATGTGTGGTGCCACCTCGTGAAAAGTGTTGTGAAGGAAGGGGCAGAGGGCACAATAGAGCAGAGGGCAGGGAGGGTCTTCGACAAAGCCACCATTCCATGCAGAAGCGGCCCAACGCTTAGCAACACACAGACAGACAGACAGACAGACAGGCCTCCCCTCCTGCTGCGAACTGTTCCATCGGACCCATCAGAAAGCCAAACCCAGGACAGGACCTTAGAGAGTATGGTGTTGGGATTCAGTACAGTGGGGTTGCTAACCAGGTCAAAACAAACCAAACCCACTGCCCTGAGTTAATTCCAACTCACAGTCATCCTGTATAGGGTTTCTGAGACTGTAAGACCACACAGCATCATCTTTCTCCCTTGGAGTGGCTGATGGATTTGAACCACCAACCTTGAGGTTAGCAGTTCAATGCTAATCTTAACAGTGCCACCAGGGCTGAGGAAATGCCTTCAAGCTAGTACAGAGGACATGGGCGGAGCTGTCTTTGTGGAATGGGTGTGGTGACAGCAGATGGGAGGAGAATATTCAAAATGGAAAACGCCCCTCAGTGAAAGTGACATGGTGAAGTCCCCAGGGCTCAATCCACTGTTGGGCTGAAGGAGGGCATAGGCAGCTCTAGAAACACAGAAGACCCCCATGGCTACACTGGAGTACTGGAGTGGCCTTCAGCTAGGCTGCGCTTCTTAGGGACCTGTCCCCCAACCCACCCTGGGAATGCAACTTGCCACAAATGGCCCACAGAAAGGCATGCATTGCTTCTCAAAGTAAGTCACCTCCTCCTCACCCCTCCCAACCTCCAACACTCCAAACCCTGGTCAGACATAATGGCCACAGCCACATAAATTCTAGTCCATACTGGCCCCCCACAAAACACCAGGCTCTTCACATGGAAGTCCACACAAACACCACTCTGGCTGTGGACCAGGGACAATCAAATCTGATGCCAAAATTGAGATCCCTGGGTTGTAGGGTTTCCCCAGGCCTCAGCCAGCCAGCTTCCTGCAATCCCCGGGCTTTACTGAATCCCAGAGAACCAGCTTAGAACCTTCCCTAGCTAGGGAGGCGGGATTCATGGACTCCCAGCGAAAACCCCATGTGGGCAGCAGGCTGTATGAATCTGCGTGCACATCAGTTCATGCATGCCTCTGCCAAACGGGGAACTCAGCAGTCCCCCAGCCCTGCCACAAGGGGGCCAAAGACTAAAGGAACGCTAAAGTCCGGAGTGTGAAGATTCTAGGAGCCAGCCGGTGGAGTGGGGTGGGAGTGGCAGGCAGGCCCAGGGGCTCAGAGCGCTAGTTACTACCAGTACCTACAAGGCTCCTTTTCTATGGAGGGGTGCCACTTTGGAGCAGCTGGCGATGAGTTTCCTGAATCAGAAGTCAGCATCCCTAGGGAGCACTCAGCCAGAGGCTGGCATTTTGCAAGCACAGATGCAGAGAGCGTGACTGTTTCCGCCAGCCTGGGTTTGGAATCCCAACCTCTGCCAACAGTCTAAGCGGGAATCTCTCCCTCCCTCCCTGTGACATTAAGAAAACTGCTGAAACATTCTACCTCCGTTTCCTAATCTAGGAAATGGGGATGAAACAGTACATACCTTGTAGGATTGCTGTAGGAGTCCTTGGGTGGCACGAACAGGTATGCATTGGACTACTAAATGTAAAGTTCGTGTTCAAGCCCACCCAGAGGCGACTTGGAAGTAAGACCTGGGAATCTGCTTCCAAAAGATGATAGCCATTGAAAACCCTATGGAGCATATCTCTCCTCTACTCTACATGGGGTCACCAGGAGTCAGAACCAATTGGACAGCAACTAACAACAGGGTTGTTGGGAGGATTAAATGAGTTAATAGCGATAAAGTATTTAGCACTGTGCCAGGTACCTTGGGAAGCTGTGAAGAAATGTTTGCTATTGTTCGCGTCCTGCTATGACACTCTAGGGTAGGCACCGGACCTCAAGGTCGGCTTGAACCATAAGGTCGACAGTTCAAACTTACTAGCCGCTCCTTGGAAACCTTATACATGGTGGCTATGAGTTGAAAGCAAATCAACGACACTTAACAACAACAAGGTTGTTTTTGTTAGGTGCTGTCAAGTTGATTCCAATTCATACGTAGCAACTAGTAAGGAGCTCTGGTAGTGTAGTGGTTACGAATCAGGCTGTGAACCGCAAGGTCAGCAGTTCAAAACTACCAGCTGCTCTGCGGGAGAAAGATGAGGCTTCCTGCTCCCGTAAAGATTTACAGCCTTGGAAACCCTGCTCAGGGTTGCTATGGGTCGGAACTGACTCGAGGGTACTTAACAACAACAACAGTTTGGCCCAGTAAAATTGCCCATGGAGTCTCCTAGATTGTAGAATAAGCATTGGACTGCTTGCCAAAATGTTGGCAGTTCAAACCCTCCAGCCGTTCTTGAGAAACCCTATACAGGGTCACTATGAGTCAGAATTTAACAGCACTTATCAACAACAGTCTTTGGGGGAGCAGAACACCAGGTCGTTCTCCTGTAGAGACACTGGGTGGGTATCAGCTTTTCAGTTAGCTTAACCAGGGCTCCTTTAAACAAATCTACAGTCCCTTATCCACAGTTCCAACATCCAAAAAGCTTTCAAATTACAGGACTTTTTGTAAATTTGATACTCAAAGTCATTTTGGTAAAACCTGAGTTTAACTGCTATGAAATGCTCTTTCATTGTTCTCCTTAGGGTGACTATATCTGTATTTTACACAGCTGCACTGTTAATGTGATTTTACTGTGTCCCGTGGGCACAGAGGGTGGTATGGGATACATTTCTGGAGTATGAAACCCTCTGGGTTCTAAAACACATCTCGCCTCAGGGATTTCACACTGGACTGGGGACCTATTATTTCTTCATATAATAGTTACTACTGTTGTTACTGTGTGACACTGGGGAGGAGCGCAGTGAGTTTGTGACAGCTATGCTTGCCCCCACCCTCCAGAGCCCCCGGTCCGGATCTTATCCCCCCGGGATGAGGTGACCTTGATCGCCGTAAGCTTGGAGTGCGTGGTGCTGCAGTGTGAGCTGTCTCGGGTAGACGCCCCGGTGCGTTGGTACAAGGATGGGCTAGAGGTGGAGGAGAGTGAGGTCTTGGTCCTGGAGAGCGATGGGCCCCGCCGCTGCCTAGTACTGCCCGCTGCCCAGCCTGAAGATGGGGGCGAGTTCGTGTGCGATGCTGGAGATGACTCGGCCTTCTTCACGGTCACCGTCACAGGTTGGCAGTCTCTGGGCACCCCATCCCTCTCCTGCTTCCTACAGCCACTCTTCCAGCCTCCTGTCCCACACAGCCTTCTCCTCCAGTCTTGCCTGCTCCCAGCGTCCTCATTCTCAGCCACCAAAGTTTTGCCTTATCCAATTCAAGGTGGGACAGTGATCAAACATCTGGTAGGAGAGAGCCATTAGGAGCTCTCATTCAGTCATTCAACAAATACTCATAGAGCAACTAGTATGTGCTAAGTACTATTCTTGGGGCTAGGGTTACAGTTGCTGTTTGCGGTGGCAACGAGTTTATTTCCACTCATAGTGAGCCCATGTGACAGAGATAAACTGTCCCATAGACTCTCTCAGACTGTAGGATAAGCACTGAACTGTTAACCACAAGGTTGGTGGTTACAATCCACCAGCCACTCCTCAGAAACCCTATAGGGTTGCTACGAGTCTGAACCGAACTCCATAGCATTTACCAACAGCAACAACCATCTTTACACAAACCAATTGCCTGGTCTTTCTCCCCTGGAGTCGCTGGATGGATTCAAACGGTTCACTGTTGCACCACTAAGACTCTGAAGTATATTCGTGAACCAAGAAGACAAACCCTCCTCCTATCATGGAGGCTAAGGAGCCCTGGTGGCACCGTGGGTGAAGCATTAGACTGCTAACCACAAGGTCGGTAGTTCAAACTCACCAGCTGCTGCCCGGGAGAAAGACCAGGCTGTCTGCTCCTGTGAGGAGATCTGTAGTCTTGGAAAACCCTAAGGAACAGTTCTATTTTGTCCTGTAGGGTCTCTGGGGGTCAGGCTTAAGTTGGTGGCACTGGCCTGGGTGGGTTCGCATGGAGCGCACAAGAAAGAGACTAAAATGCACGGTTTACTGGAGCCAAGGCAGGGAAAGGGAATGGGGAGTGGGACCGGGTAGGGCGTGCATTGGGGTCAGATAGGAGGACAAGGTGTGAGTCTGAGTTGGCCTCATTGTCGGTGCAACTTCGGGTGGGACAGCCCCTCTAACAAAGCTCAGTGTCCTCATTGTGAGAGCGAAGCCAACAGCAATGCCTCTCCTGAAGGTGGACAGGAGTCATGAAGGCAAGGGTTGCCCTGAACTCAGCAGTGCTCCTGGCACCGTGCCCAGGAGTGGTCCTGGTCCCAAGACTGGAGAGAGCCATGCTGCAGGGGACTGAGAATGGGTAAGGGAGGCTGGGAGGGGCCTGTTGGCCATGCTCACGAATCCTCTTTCTGCCCCCCCACCAGCCCCTCCAGAGAGGATCCTGCACCCGGCAGCCCGCACCCTGGATCTGCACTTCCAGGCTCCTGGGCGTGTGGAACTGCGCTGCGAGGTAGCCCCAGCCGGGTCACAGGTGCGCTGGTACAAGGACGGGCTGGAAGTGGAGGCCTCAGACACTCTGCAGCTCGGTGCTGAGGGGCCCGCCCGCACCCTGATCCTGCCCCATGCCCAACCTGAGGATGCTGGAGAGTATGTGTGTGAGACCCATGATGAAGCAGTCACCTTCAACGTCAGCCTGGCTGGTGGGTGCTCCCTGCCAGCACAGGTGGGAGAGACGGGAGGCAGCCCGGGCTGACGCTGACGCCTTCAACTGCAGCCTGGCCAGTGGGTGTTCCCCACCAGCACAGGTGGCAGAGGTGGGAGCCAGCCCAGGCTGACACCTTCCTTTCTTTGTCCAGAGTCCCCTGTGCAGTTCCTGGCCCCAGAGACAGCTCCCAGCCCACTCTGTGTGGCCCCTGGGGACCCAGTGGTGCTGAGCTGTGAGCTATCTCGGGCCAGCGCCCCAGTGCTGTGGAGCCACAATGGCAGGCCTGTGCAGGAGAGTGAGGGCCTGGAACTACAGGCTGAGGGCCCCCGCCGCCTCCTGTGCATCCGGGCTGCCGACCCAGCTCACACAGGCCTCTACACCTGCCAGTGTGGGGCGGCTCCAGGAGCCCCCAGCCTCAGCTTCACCCTCCAGGTGGCTGGTGAGTTTATGGGAGTAGCACCCCCCCCAGAACCCACCTTGTCTAGCATGCCTCGTCCATCCCGCCCCCACCCTCTGCCCAGCCCTTGCATCTCTCCCTGCCCAGTGACCCCCAGCTCTGACCCCACAGAGCCCCCTGTGCGGGTGGTGGCCCCCGAGGCAGCCCAGTTGAGGGTCCGCAGCACACCAGGCGGGGACCTAGAGCTGGTGGTCCACCTCTCCGGGCCAGGGAGCCCTGTACGCTGGTACAAGGACGGGGAGCGCCTGGCGAACCAGGGGCGGGTGCAGCTGGAGCAGGCCGGGGCCAGGCAGGTGCTGCGGGTGCGGGGGGCGCAGAGCAGGGACTCAGGAGAGTACCTGTGTGATGCGCCCCACGACAGCCGCATCTTCCTCGTCAGCGTAGAAGGTAACAGTGTACCCCCACACCCTTTGGGCCCTGACACCCCCAAGGACCATGCCGCCGCATGCCCCTTTACCTCTTCCTTCTGCCTCTTATTCCATCCCGTGTGCACAAGCATTACTCTGAGGCGGCTCAGGCCTTTCTTTCCAGAACGCTCAAATAGGAAGAACCTAATGGTTAAAAGTAGGGACCAACTTGGGACCCACCCAGTAGTTGTGTGACATTGCACTAGATTCTCCATCTCTCTGAGTCCCAGCTTGGAGGTGGATGGATAACACCAGTCTTATGGGGCTATTATGACAATTAAATGCTATACAGAGGGTCCACAGTAAGTAACGTGTTACTATGAGAGAGAGAGGGATTGAGATGGGTTGCCTAAAGACTGAGAGGGAGCTGGCATCTTGCCCTTCAGGGACACCCTCATGGTGACACAGAAGGTTCTCAAGAAATGTGTGTTAAGTGACAAGAAGGGCATGTGGACCCAGTAGCTCACTGCCTGATCCACCCCCAGAGCCCCCACCGGTGAAGCTGACCTCAGAGCTGACACCGCTCACTGTCCATGAGGGCGATGACGCCACATTCCGCTGTGAAGTCTCCCCAGCAGACGCTGATGTCACCTGGCTTCGCAATGGGGTCACTGTCACTCCAGGGCCTCAGCTAGAGATCACTCAGAATGGTTCAAACCGCATTCTGACCCTGCGAGACTGCCAGCTCCAGGACTCTGGGACTGTGACTGCCCGGGCAGGGACTGTGGCTACCAGTGCCCGGCTTCACGTTCGAGGTTGGGCCCTAATGCTCCCTACTCCTGTACTCCCAGCTCTTGCCCTAGCCCTGGCCCTTCTGCCTAAGGACAGATCAATGACATGCACCAGGCTCCATGGGCCTCCCCTCCCCTCCCTTCCCCAGAGGCTGAGCTGCTTTTTCTGCGGAGACTGCAGGACATGCGAGTGGATGAAGGCCAGGACGTATGCCTGGAGGCACAGACAGGCCGGGTGGGTGCAGCTGGGGCTGTGCGCTGGGTGCGAGGTGGGGAGCCTCTGCCCCAGGACGCTCGCCTGTCAACAGCCCAGGATGGCCACATCCACCGCCTCTTCATCCACGGCGTCATGCTGGCTGACCAGGGCACCTACGGCTGTGAGAGCCACCATGATCGCACTCTAGCTAGGCTCAGCGTGAGGCGTGAGTGCCCTGTCCTCTGTTAATGCATCACTTGCCCCACCCAGCTGGTCCAGGGCCCCTCAGACCCCACCAAAGTGCCCCTCGATGATGCCGAGGAAACTGCCCAAAGCAAAACTTGCCCTTTTCTAATGTTTTCTACTTTGCCTTCAAAGCCCATGTGGATTTCTCATTGCATTTCTTATTTCTAAGTTGGCTTTGCTATAAACGTACTCTAGTCCAGAGAGACCTGCCGTGTTTATCCTCTGCCTTCAGAGGTTCATGTGCCCACTTGAGAAGCAGGGATGGCTGGCAAATAGTTCCCTCTGGCCCCCAAGTTGGAGACCACCACCACCATTAGCAGTGTGACCTCATCCAAGTTTTACTTAACCTCTTTCAGTCAAAGGCTGACCTCTACGTCAAGGGTCTTTAGTAACATTAACTGAGATCATTTATGACAAGCGCCCACACAGAGCCTGGTAGATGGTTGGTGGTGGTGATGTGTATTTTCTGCTCATTCATTTCCTTCATTTAATCCTCACATTCAATCTGGGTCTCAACACCATTAATCTTTTATAAGACAGGAAACTAATATCCAGGGAAGTCTTACAGTTTGTCAAAAGTCACACATCACAAAGATGAAATGGTAGCGCCAAAGTTCAGTCCAGATATGCCTGATTCCAAATTCTCCTTCCAGTGTTCTAGCACCCCTCACAGATGCCACACTTCATTGTTCTCCCCTAATCTCAGGATGCTCTGTTTTCTTCTTCCTGTACCCTGGTCTGAAGTCCTGTTGGCGGTCTGCATGTTAGGGCTGGGACAAGTAGGGCTGAGGGTGAGTGAGCCCCCTCAATGCCCCACCGTGAGCAGGATGCATTATCCTTCCTCTCTCCCTGCCTCTCCCCACCAGCAAAGCAGTTGAGAGCGCTACGGTCCTTGGAGGATGTGACCATTATCGAAGGGGGCAGTGCCACCTTCCAGCTGGAGCTGTCCCAGGAGGGTGTGGCCGGGGAGTGGGCCCGGGGCGGGGTCCGGCTGCAGCCAGGACCCAAGTGTCACATCCATGCAGAGGGCCACAGTCACCACCTGGTGCTCAGTGGACTGGGCCTGGCCGACTCTGGCTGCGTCTCCTTCACCACGGATTCCCTGCGCTGTGCAGCCAGACTCACTGTGAGAGGTGGGACCCGCATTACTGAGCCCACTGTCCGTGTGTCCCCACTTAACATGCCTGTCGTAGTGTGACCCTCACTGATCTCCCTGCAGAGCAGGACTGCCCTGAGCCTTTGGCCCTGCCTGAGTGTGGCCCCCTGCTCTCACTCTCATCCCCATGTGATCGACTGACCGTGCTGCTGTGGACATGTGTGCTATGTTGTGGGCCCTGCTGTCTGCCTAGCTGAGCACAGCCTCACTGACCACTCTGCTCCCTGTGCCCCCTCTGCCTACCGCCTGCCTGTGGCCCCTGACCACTCCCTGCCTACCTGCCTAAGGGTGTGTGGGGGGGGGGCTCCACCAGCAACTTGGCTCCAGTTTTCTCCATTTTTGCTTCCAACCCCAGTGAGTTCCCCACTGACCACTCCCCCTGGCTCTTCTGACTCAGTGTGGTTCCCACTGTTCTGTGCAGCCAGGAGTGACTCCTGCTGTCCATGTCTGGCCTCTCTCTACTGTAGTCTCACCACGTCCCTCTAGCCCCAGCATGTCCCATTGAACACCTAAAAGGGTCACCCCCCCCACACACAGCAGGCCATTCTTGCCTCCTTGACCCTTGTGATTCTACTGTGCCCCTACTGACCAGCATCCTCTTGAACCACTTGGTCTAGCATGTCCCCCACTGACCACCTTGTCTGCATGTGTCCATATGTCCTCCCTCTCCCATTCCCAGAGGCCCCAGTGACCATTGTACGGGGGCCACAGGACCTAGAGGTGACTGAGGGCAACACAGCGACGTTCGAGTGCGAGCTTTCCCAGGCTTTGGCTGATGTCACCTGGGAGAAGGTCAGAGCCCAGCCCCAGCCCAGAACACCTCATCATAACAACATAACAATAACAACGCCCCAAACAGGAACAACTAACACTCACTGAGCAATTTGCCTGGCACTGTGGCTAACATGTAGCTCTCGAATCCTTACAGCAGCCCTAGGAGGTAGCTCATGTTGTCACTAGTGGCTTTAATAGGGTTGGTAACTTGGTGCACTGGCTTCCAAGACCAGCGCCATGTCTCATACCCCCACTTCCGGTTCCCCGAAGCTCCTCCCCTCTCCCCTTGGTCAAAGGCAGGCACCGAGAGTAGAACAACCTGCACACACTAGTGAGTGATGAGAGGTGGGGGGTGTTAGTTACCCCACTGGGTGACACATAACACCAACCCTAGTGACTGCCACTGCCTTGGCAGCCCCTCCCCTTCCAGTGCCAGCTCACCCACAGCTGCCACCCTGGAGTCATTTTGGAATCACCCCCCAGGTTCACACCTCCTCCACCCCACCCCACTGACATCATTGGCTCTCATCATATTATGGGAGAAAACAGGCTCCATGCCGAGAGGTTACTGACCAGGGTCAGACAGCACCGGTAGAGGGCATGTCTGAATCTAGGCTTACCTGGATCCTGACTCACACCCCATGCTATGTGGACATGGCTCTGGGTTTCTTCAGCCCAGGGTGCCCTTTGTCGGCACTGACTGAACAGTGAGATCTTCCCAGTGAGGCTCCTGGAACGTCCTTGAAGGTACAAGACCAGCAGATCCAACTCTTGACTGGCCTGACCCCACCTGGGAGAGATATATTAAGTGCTGTTTAGTCGCTTCTGACTCATAGCAACCCTACATAAGGTTTTCAAAGAGCAGCTGGTAGGTTTGAACCTTCGATCTTGTGGTTAGTAGTCCAGTGCTTATCTGTTGTTTTTGTTAAGTGCCCACGAGTTGCTTCTAACTCAGCGACTCTGTATAGGGTTTCCGAGGAGCGGTTGGTGACTTTGAACCGCAGACATTGTTGATCAACTAACTTTTGGGGTCGAATGCTTATTCCACGGCGCCACACCAGAACGCCTAGCATAAAAGCACCTCGAAGCCGCTTGGCACCAATAGAGGGCGCCGCCGCCTTACGGAGTGCCCACCGTCTGCCATTCTCGCTTCCAGGATGGGTGCACGCTCACCCCGAGCCCACGGCTACGGCTGCAGGCCCTTGGCACACGCCGCCTTCTGCAGCTACGGCGCTGTTGCCCCTCGGACGCCGGGACCTACAGCTGCACAGTGGGGACGATCTGCGCCGGGCCCGCCCGCCTGGTAGTGCGCGGTGGGTATGCGCAATGCGGGGGTCAGGCACTCTGGGAGAGCTGGATTGAAGTCCAGTCTTTCCCTAGGGTTGAGTCGGTGTTTCCAGGAAGAGGGGCGTGACAGGGGCGTGGCGGGATGTCGCCCTCGCCCCGCCCCCCCTCAATTCCCCGGCTCCGCCCCCAGAGCGCGAAGTGGCTATCCTCTCCAAGCTCCGGTTAGTGCGTGCTCGGGAAGGCGACGGCGCCACGTTCGAGTGCACTGTGTCAGAGGCAGAGACCACAGGTAGCTGGCAGCTCGGAGGCCGCCCGCTGAAATCCGGAGGCCGTGTCCGCATCCGACAGGAAGGTCTGGCTGCCTTTCCATCATCCGCAGCCCCCGCCCATCCTAGTCCACTGCTGTGATAGACCCCGCCCCACTAGCATAAGCCCCGCCTCTGGTTCGAATGAGCGCTGTCCGCAGGCCCGCAAGCTTATCTCTCGTCTACCCGGCCTTACGGCTTTGAGCCTGCAGCTCCAGAAGGCTTCTCTTCCGCTCTTCCCTTACAGCCTCCCAATTCCATCCACCCCTGCTGCTCCCACCCGGCCCTTATCCCCGAACCCTCCCCCTGGGTAGCCTCAGCCTAGCTAGTGCTCCCTTCGCGCCCAGGAAAGAAGCATATGCTGCTGCTGAGTGAGCTACGCGCAGAGGACGCTGGAGAAGTCTGCTTCCAGGCTGGACCCGCCCAGTCCGCAGCCCAGCTAGAGGTGGAGGGTAAGCCACTGGGGCGGGAGTGGCCGTCACATGCTGCCATGGAACCCGTGCTGGAGGTGGATCCTAGGAGTGCTGCCTCCTCCCCTCGAGGACAGGTTGCAGAGGGATTCCCGAGCGGAGGTGGGGAGGGAACGATCTGGGATAGAGGTACGGAGGAACGGGCTGGTGGCGTTGAAGCTTGCAGCCAGAAGTGGAGGTCACCGGGAGTGCCTTTCACCCTGAGGTGTACTATATGTTCCAGTAACTTCAGTCCCCGCCCCTCCCATCTCAGCACTACCTCTGCAGATGTGCCGCCGGCCCCCTCGAGAGAAGACAGTTCTGCTCGGCCGCCGGGCGGTGCTGGAGGTGACTGTGTCCCGCTCCGGGGGCCACGTGTGTTGGCTGCGGGAGGGGATTGAGCTGTGCCCTGGAGACAAGTATGAACTACGCAGCCACGGCCCCACCCACAGTCTGGTCATCCATGATGTGCAACCTGAGGACGAGGGCACCTACTGCTGCCAGGCCGGCCAGGACAGTGCCCACACTCGACTGCTGGTGGAGGGTGAGTAAAGCCACCTGGGCAGAGGTCAGAGAGGCCACTGGGCTGGCAGGAGGGAACACCTGGTAAACGGTGGGCTGAGATACACCTAGAGGAACTTTGTAGGTTTGGGGACCAACGTATTGGGAGCGGGGCTGGGAGCATCATTCTCAGGCCTGAGGAGAGGAGGGAGCCCTGTTTATAGGTTGCCAGCCCCACCTTTTTATGCCCCTTCCTGTTCTGGCCTCTCCTCACTCCCTCTGGCCCCTGGACCACTCCCCACCCCACTATTTCTGACCTGGTTCTCCTCCTTCCCTCCTCCTCACCTGTCTTGCCCCGCCCTCAAACTCTCTGACCATCTCAACGAGTTCTACACCACCCTGGCAGAGGGCTCTTGATCTAGTCCCTTGTCTTTTCTCTTTCACCTAGGATATGCCCCACCCTTCACTCCGCATCTCTCCAGATGCCAGGCCTTGTCCCCTTACCTGACCCCTACCTCCTGACCCCCCACAAAGACCTCGAGGCCCAGAAATGGTAGAGGGTAAAGCCCAGCTCCTCCCATGTGGGTGCCTGGGCTCTGCAGAGGGAGAAGAAAGGGGTGTTATTCTGCACCCTACATGGAGTCATTCCTTTGCAGGGAGCTAGGAAGACCGAAGCTGGCCACAGTGCCTCAGACAGCTTGGAAGGCAAGGGTAGGGCGAGGGGCAGGAAAACCCAAGGTGTCGGAGAACAATAAACATGGTTCAGTCTCTTCCCTTGCCTCTGTGTGACATGAGAAGACAGATCTTGTCCAGAGCCCTTACATGTGACACGTGGGAACCAAGGGCTACTGTGCTCACAGTTTGGCTCATGGCCTTGTCAGCCACTGAAGACCACCATTCCTGGCAGAGGCCATGAAGTTTGGCACATTTATAAAAGTTGTAAAAGGGGGTGGGGTGGGGGGACAGAAGCATGAGGTGTCCAGAGTTGCATGACAGACACCAGACATGCACCGTGCACTTAAACCCTCCACCCCTTCCCCACCCCACCCTAACCCCCACCCCCATCCCCTGCCACTGCCCTCTAGGGCTAGTGGCTTTGCAGAGGACAGAGCACCCAGGTGAGGGGTGCTGTCGTTTGCCTAATGGACAAGGAGGGGAACACTTAGATGGAGACTCTGTTTGAGAGGTGGGAGATGGTAGAGGGAAGACAGGCCTCCTCCACATAGACATGCAGGAGGGTGGCCCATGGCCCCCAGCAGAGGGAGAGGAGGTGGACCAACCTTGGAGAAGCCCTACCAATCAGAAATCTAAGGCAAGGGTCCCAATGGTCCCCTCCAGGCCCACCCCCTCCACACACACACAGGCGACACACTCACACCCCTGAGCACACCCCAATGAGGCTCACACCCCATGTCCCTCAGGAGCCCCTTGGGAGCTTGGGAGGGGGCAGTCCCCTCAAACCAGGCCTCGCCTAAAACTGGTCGTTCTTCTCCAGGCCAGGGAGAGGGACAGCCAAGGGCTACAGGGCCAGTCTGGCAGAGCTGGTGACTGAAGAGTCTAAGCAAGTGGGGGGCAGCTGTCCTGCTATACTCTCACAGGGGGCCCGGAGCAGGCTGCCAGCGGCCCCTGGGACCCATACTCAAAGTCAGCATCCGTGGGTGAGGACATGAAGGAGCTCAGTGAGCTCCCTGTCTGCCGGTCCCGGAAGCTCTGGATGTAACTCTGTGGGGAAGTAAATAGGAGTGAGGGCCCCACTACAGACCTTCCCCTCTATCCCCACAAGCCTGAAACTCACCCCAGATAGCCATAGACCCAGGACCTCACCCCTTCCCATTTAAAACACCTCTTATACCCCATTTAAAACTTATCCTCAGGAAGTTCGCCCCAGTCCCAGAGCTGGACCCATCAGGTGCCTCATACTGGGGTGGTGATGAGCACACAAACACTAGGTTGCTTCTAGAAAGTGACCAGCCTCTGGAGGAGGCCAGTCCTGTTTAGACAGAGCCCAGCCAGTCCTTTCTCCCTGAGCCAGGCTGGTGGGGCTAGGGCGCTCACCGGGGAGAGGACATCTCCATTGAAGCGTTTGATGGGCACTGGTCTGCGCCGATAAGCAGGGTCAGGGGGCCCGGGCCTTGGAGGAGCCCGGGTTCCTCTTGGGGGGGCCCGTGGGGGTCTCTTCTTTCGCCGCTTCTCCTTTCGTTCTTCCTGCTGCCGAATTCGCATCAGTTGCACACGTCGTCGCTGCCGGCTGATGACCACTTGGAGGGGATGGTCAAAGCAGGGGTCTCAGAAGCTCCTCTAGGCTTCAGCTTTTTCTGCCCCCTCTCCACCTCCCAGATAGACTTCCTGCACTCGCTCCTGTCTATGGAAGGTCTGGCTGAACTTCCAGAAATTTCTCCCTGGCTGTTTTCCCTCATCCAGGCTTAAGTCAGAAGTGATTTACCTGGGCCTCCCACCATCACCCCTCAACTGACCAACTGCAGCAGTTTCCTAACTAGATAAAGAGGTTCCCCCTTTCTCTGTCTTCTCTCCAATCTCTTCTACACTCAACAGCCAGAGTGAACATCCTAAATGCTAAATTCAGTTCTATCTTCACCTGCTTGAAACCTTCCAATGGCTTCTCATTGTCCTTCTAATAAAACCAAAGTCCTCATCATGGCCCAGAGGGACCAGATGAATGGCCCACCTCCTGGTCTTATCTACTATACTACAGCCCCACCGCCTCAAGCAAGCCAAGCCCATTTCTGTCTCAGGCCCTCGCCCTGGCTAGTCCCTGTTCTGTTGGCATGGTGGCTCGCTCCTCATCCTTTAGTTCTCTCCTTAAGTGTCACCTCCTCCAAGTGACCTTCTGTGACGACTCAATCTGTAAGAGGGCACTGTTTGACATTATTATGCTACCCTACAAAATGAGAATTGTTGGGTTACGTGGCTGTTGTCTAGCTTCCTCCTCCAGAGACACAAGGCTTGTGTCTGTTTGGGCTGCTCTATCCCTGGAATGGCGCTGGTCCATCCTCTAAGGCTCTGAGTGAGTCAGCTATCTAACCCCTTTGAAGCCTCTCTCCCCGACTCCTGGCATCCACTCATTTCATGTCCACCATGGCATGCGCTCTCTCACCTTCTGTGTGGGAGTCTCTCTCGGCAGTCACCCGCCACTGCACCAGGACGCCCATCAGGCTGAGCAGTGGCCAGAGTGCCAGCAGGGCCCAGCTCCGCCAGCAGAGTGGAGGCACAGGGGCAGCCCGCAGCCGCTCCACTGCATAGCGCCCTAGCAACAGCAGCTCAGCGAAGTAGTCAGCAGCAGTGGCGATGAGTGCAGCACCAGTCACAGCTGTGGCCAGGGTGGTGAGAGGGCGGGGCCAGCGAAGTGTGAGCAGGGCACAGAGCAGGCCACCTCCGAGCAGCAGCCCCAGTGGGCCCCACACCGAGCCTGGCTGGTAGTAGGGTGCGGAGCCCAGCAGGGCGGCAGCGGCGAGCAGCAGACCCAGCAGTAGCCCTACCAGGAAGAGACCGACGCTGCGCACCAGCATGGCCACCAGCCCGCAGAGCAGCCCAATGCCCAGTGCGATGCCTGCGCTGGCCCCCGCACTCAGCTGGGTCTCCAGCACCCGCTCCCGGTAACACAGCAGGAAGATGACCAGGGAGCCAAACAGCAACCCCGTGAGGAAGAGCACTGCCTTGAAGCAGCGGTAACCTGGAGGGGAACAGGGCTAGTAAGGGGCCATAATGAAGTCATGAAGCTTGGTGGAGGAGTTCAGTGACAAGGGGGGAGGCACAGGAATCAGAGGCAAGGACACTAAGATCAGAGAATTTGGGGTCATTGGAGTCACGAAGGCATCGGTGATGGGGCCAATGTGGCTAGAGGAGGTCGGAGAAATAAGTAGTCAATGGGAAAACAGTCCTGGAGAAAAAAGGATTGGGGTCTTTGAGGGTCAGAAGAACCAGAGATAGATTATTAGAGTTGAGAGAATGGGCAATAGGGTCATGGGGGTCTTTGATATCATAGAGGTCAGAGATAAGTCAACAGTAGTCATTGGGGTCTTTGCAAGGGGAATGTTCAGAGAGATAAAGTACTTAGAAGTCCAAAAACCCAGAGAGATGGGGTCATATGGGATCAGAAAGATGAGGTCTTCGAAGGGTCACACTGGTTCCAAGAGATGGAATCATTGGGAGTTAGAGAACAGAGAAGTTATTGGGGAGAGGTTCTGGGAGGTGAGGTCACTGCAGGTCAGGGGAAGTGGAACCATTGAGTACTGAGGGTTTCTGAGACAGGGGACCATTGAGGTCAGAGAAATGGGCAGGAGAGAGGACCATAGGATAGAGAGTTAGGAGTAACCAGGGATCAGAGGTAGGAGCCGTAGAGGGAGCCAAAGTGATGGGAATTAATGAGATGGTGGGGGAGGTGTGATGGCAGGCTGGAGGTTACTAGGTCTTACAAGGGGTCACAGGGAGTCGAAGAGGATTATAGGGGAAATGGTGGTTGTGAGTTTCAGAAAAATGGGAGTTATGGGGTTAATGGGGTGCCTGAAAAGGTGATAGAGATTGAGCAATTGGGAAGATGGACATCAGAAACGGGGACCAATGGGGTCAGCGAGAGCCAAAAAGAAAGGTCAACAAGATGAAATTCAGCTCCAGAAATGAGGAAAAATAACAGAGTCCAGAAGGTTCTGGGATCAGAGAGGCAATAGGGTATAGATAAGGGTTCAGAGTCCAAGAGTCTGGGAATGGGGGCATCCAAGAAGGGTGGAGTATCTGGACAACCACGCCGAGGGAGTGGGTACAGCCAAAGGTAAGACAGACTCCTTGGAGACCCAGAATGTGTACCAAACCCTTGGGCAGGCACTTCCTCCTACCAACTTTGCTAGGAGGAAATTGTTCAGCCCAGAAGGGGAGAGACCATCTGGCTCCCACTCCTGCCTAGCCAGTCATTCTTGGGCGTGGGCAGTGTGGAGGCTGCAGAACACGAGTGTCGTCCCACCTCTGCCCAGCCTGAAACCCAACACTCCTTTCTTCCTTTGCTCCCAATGCTTCTAGTAACCCATAGTCTTCCTCTTAGAGGCTTTATTTGGGTCACTAGCCCATAGGTTGGTGGTTCAAACCCACCAAATCCTCCTCAGTAACCCTATGCAGGGTCGCTATGAATTGGAACCAACTTGACAGCATTTAACAAAACAAGCCCATAGAACTCACTCCCCTGTTGTAGAGTCACTGGGCAGTTACTCCAAGGTGTCTCTAGCCCATATTTGCACATTTGAAAAAGGTGTGCCTTCCTCTAGGCCAAAGAAGCCTTGTGCTAAGGCCCAAAGCTTGACAAATGGAGCATGGGCTGGATTTCAACCACCACTTACCTATTCAATTGAGCTCCTTTGTGCAGTACACATCCCATACAACTGTTCACAGCAGCCCTGATTGTTGGAGCCTGCCTTGTGGGCAGACTCCATATATATAACTATCATCTAGCCCACTCTAACATGTATCACAAGTGCGAATGTTTCAAGCCCACCAGTTGCTCCTTGGAAATCCTACACAGGGTCACTATGAGTCAGAACTGACTCGACAGCACATAACAACAACAAATGTTTTCAGTGCCTAAGGTCAGCAGTTCAAACCCACCAGCAGCTCCATGGAAACCCTATACAGGGTTGTTATGTGTTGGCACAGACTCGATGGCACTTAACAATAACAACAAACTAGTGCAGTAACTGTAACTATTACTTCTCCACAGTAGCTACTATTTTTTGAGTGTCTACTAATTTTCACAAGGAGCTCTGGTAGCACAGTGGTTGCGAATCAGGTTGCTAACCTCAAGGTCGGCAGTTCAAAACTACCAGCCATTCCGCGGTAGAAAGATGAGGCTTTCTGCTCCCATAAAGGTTTGCAACCTCGGAAACCCTGTGCAGGGTCACTATCAGTCAGAACCAACTCCACGGTACTTAACAACAACAACAACACTAATTTTCACAACAACCTTATGTGAGACAAGTATCACTGTTCCCATTGTTCAGATGAGAAAAATAAGGTTCAGAAATTTGAGATAAATGTACTCAAGTCATCACAATTAGTAGTGTACAGAGCAGGTTCAAACTCAAGCAAATCATATTAGAAAACCTGCGTTCCCTAGGATCTAGAGTCCACCTGGTCTATAAACGTGTGGGATAAAAGAGAGAAAGCTAGCTATTCATAGTGGTGGTGGTTCCAAAGAAGATTGGGGTGCCTGAGAAAAGGACCTCAGGGAAGTAGTGGAGAGCCCAGGTGAGGGATGAGATGGGAATCTCACCAAAGAAGCAGTAGATGACTCCAAACAGACAGCACATGATGCAGACGAGGGCCGGGAGCGCCTGGTACCTGCGTTCCAGGGGCTGCTCACAGGGTGCCCCCCAGAAGGTGTCATCTGGCTCCGGGGGCAGAAGCTGGAACCGCAGCGTCGCCACAGTGCCCGGCATAGTGCTGGGAATGGAGGGGAGTCACCCTCCCAGGTCAACCTGACAGAGGAAGTTGGGGTCAAGAAGGATTCTTGGGGTCCCCAGTGGAATGACGGTATGAGTAGGAGTGGAAGAACTACGCAAGGGGCACTATGAACAAAGGAGGGGTGCCACATCATGCAGCTCTGGAAGCATCCCTGAAGCGGGAGCAAAGGATAAAAGTGGACAGTGTCTGGCTAGAGGGGACTGGGTGGAGAAGTTAAAAGGGGGACTGAGTGGGGCAGATGAGGGCAGTGTGTAACTGGCGAGGAGGCAGCCGGGAGACTCGTGGGCGGCCAGGTCTGTGATTGTCCAAGATCTACCTGGGCTGGAGGTGACCTGAGCTTCTGGGCTGAAGTGGCGGTGTAGGGACCGAAGGTTCCGGGAATGCGGGGCGCCACGGGTCCCAACTGACGGGAGTCCGATAAAAGTCCACAGTGCAGTGACGGGGGCTGCTGGGCCAGAGGGACCGGTCTCCTCGCAGCGGCGTCGCTGCTCCTCCTCCAACACGGGCAGGCACTCCAGTTCCGCGGCGTCCGGGGACTTGGGCTCCTGGGGAAGGGAAAGGAGCAGGAGCAGGGGCTCGGGGCGCCCCAGAGCCGCGGCCCCATGCCCTGAGCCCGCCCGCGGCCTTTGGTGCTGATGGACAGCTCCGGCCTCTGCTCCTGACGTCACTTAGAGCGCACCATCCAGGCAAGGGCGGGCTGCTTCTGACGTCACCCGGGACGCACCAACCACGCAGGGGGAGGCAGAGAACTCCGCCCCCAACGTCTCGCTCTCCCTCACTGAGGAGGGGGCACTTCCGGGAGTCCTTCCCCTTTAACCTCCCCTTCTCCTCCCTCCCGGGTAGCCAGAGTCTGGAACCCCACCCCGGGGGCGGGGCTCGTGCAGTGACACGTCGGACAGCGGCGCAGTGGCGGCACCAGCGAGGAGCTCAAGGACCGTGCTAGCACAGAACGGCAGCTGCAGGGAGATCGGAGCGCGGCGCTGGGCATCTGACTCGGGCCTCGGGCTCCGCTCGGCGGGGAGGGAGCGGTCCCGCCCGCTGGGCCTGGGCCCCCCGGATCCGCCCCCTCCCCGGTCCCGCCCCCTCGGAGCCTCCCCCGGTTGCTCTGGAACTGCGCCGGGGCCGGGGCCGGCGGTCTGTGCGCCATGCGGGCGTCGCTGCTGCTGTCGGTGCTGCGGCCCGCAGGGCCAGTGGCCGTCGGCATCTCCCTGGGCTTCACTCTGAGCCTGCTCAGTGTCACCTGGGTGGAGGAGCCCTGTGGCCCAGGGCCGCCCCAACCTGGAGATTCTGAGCTGCCGCTGCGCGGCAACACCAACGCGGCGCGCCGGCCTAACTCTGTGCAACCTGGCGCGGAGCGCGAGAGGCCCGGGGCCGGGGAGAACTGGGAGCCGCGGGTCTTGCCCTACCACCCCGCACAGCCCGGCCAGGCTGCCAAAAAGGCCGTCAGGTAGGGCTCGGCCCCGCCCCTGGGCACCGGTCGGGGCGCGCGAGTACGGAGGAAGCAGCCAGGGGCCCCGAGTCAGGCTCCGGAAGGAAGGGGCTGGCTGGCCAGGAAGTCTTTGAGCTCTGATAACTTCCGATGCCCTGCTTACCCAGAGCTATGGGACCGGCTGAGGCCCTGTCTGGGTCCTACTATCGGCTGAGATGAAATTGCTGATTCTCCGCCCTTAATCTGATCGACCTCATGGTCCCGCAAAGATCCTCTTATCTCCCAGGCTGTACTGTTGGGGCAGGAGAAATGACTGGTATATAAAGTGAGTGTATAAAGATCCTGTTTCTGGGTAGGTTGCAAGAGCCACCTGACTAGGAGGTTGGAGGGGAGGTGGCACCTATTCCATTAATGTCTCCCTGATGAGTTTAAAGAATTTCTCCTCAGTAATACTGAGTTCAAATTCCAGTTCTGCAACTTACATTTAGTATTATGACAGGTTAATTACTGGAACCCCAGACATACCAGATGTTCCTTTGCTTCATTTATTTGATGCATTTTGGGTATATGACATATTTATATAGAGGTAAGTATATGCATAGTATATATGGAGTAGCCACTGGACTGCGAACCACAAGGAAGGCAGTTCAAACCCACCAGCTACTCCTCGGAAACTATACAGGGTCGCTATGAGTCGGACGGAACGAACTCAACGGCACTTAACAACAACAATGTTCTAAGAGTTCGGTTTCATGTTTTAAATAGCTCTCAACCAAATCCACTGTCATCAAGTCGATTCCAACTCATAAGGTTTCCAAGAGTAAGTCTTTATGAGAGCAGACAACCTCAACTTTCTCCTATGGAATGCCAACCTTGTGGTTAGCAGCCCAGTGCACACCAGGGTTCCTTTTAAATAGCTATGGTCATCTCCATTTTACAGTAAGGCTACTGTAGCTTCATTGAGTGAAAGAACCTGCTCAAGATGCATAGTTACTAAGTTTTAAGAATTAAACTCACCATTATACATCTTTGTATCTGTAAATGTAAAGCATTGTGTAGATAAGGCTAGTAAATCCTATGACCCTCTTATAGATTGGGAAACCATCCAAATGCAGAACCTGCCCCAGGCAAGAACCCATGTAAACTGCCTCCCGCCTGCCTTGTCTTTTCATATAACCTTATGCTGTCTCTTCTCCCAGGACCCGCTACATCAGCACGGAGTTGGGCATCAGGCAGCGACTGCTTGTGGCGGTGCTGACCTCCCAGGCCACATTGCCCACACTGGGTGTGGCCGTGAACCGCACACTGGGGCACCGGCTAGAGCGTGTGATATTCTTGACTGGTGCTCGGGGCCGCCGGACTCCACCAGGCATGGCTGTGGTCACACTGGGTGAGGAGCGGCCCATCGGACACCTACACTTGGCACTGCGCCACCTGCTGGACCAGCATGGAGACGATTTTGACTGGTTCTTTCTAGTACCAGAGGACACCTACACTGAGGCGCATGGACTGGTGCGCCTTGTTGGCCGCCTCAGCCTGGCCACCTCTGCCCACCTCTATCTGGGCCGGCCCCAGGACTTCATCGGTGGAGAGCCCACCCCAGGCCGCTATTGCCATGGTGGCTTTGGGGTGTTGTTGTCTCGCACGCTGCTACAGCAGCTACGCCCCCACCTGGAAGGCTGTCGCAACGATATTGTCAGTGCGCACCCCGACGAGTGGCTGGGACGCTGCATCCTCGATGCCACCGGCGTGGGCTGCACTGGAGACCACGAGGTGGGAAGAGAAGTCCTTGTTGGTGCCTCCTAGCTGTGCTTGTACACCTTCCCTGAGAGGCAAGGGTCGCTGGAGATACAGTCCTGAATTTCTGTGCCATCCTGTCATTTTCCATCCCTGTTACCACGGGCCAGTGATTAAATCTCCTGAGCTTCAGCTTTCTCCCCATGCCAGTAGAATTAGTTATTGCTTGTTAGAATGATTAGAGAAAATAGAGGGACTTATAGTAGGTGTCAGAGTCCTGGTGTAGTGCTGTAGCACCAGACTGTAACAAGGTTGGAAGTTCAAGCCCACCAATTGCTCCTCAGAAACCCTATATAGGGTTGCTATGAGTTGGAACTGACTCAGTCCCTGGAAGTGTTGGTGTGGCACTGTAGGATAAGCACTGGGCTGAAGGTTAGTTTGAACTGCAAGGTCAGCAGTTTCAATCCACCAGCCACTCCTCAAAAACCCTGTACAGGGTCGCTGTGAGTCAACAACTTGGCACGTAATAAAAACAATAAACAGTAGGTGACAGTGAACCATGGTGGTGTAGTGGATTGAGCACTGGGCTGCTAACCGCTAGGTTGGTGCTTCAAACCAATAAACTGCTGTGAGGGAGAAAGATGAGGCGGTCTGCTCCCGTAGAGATTTATAGTCTCAGAAACCTTACGGAGGCCTTCTGCTTTGTCCTCACGGTCACTATGAGTCGACTCCGTGATAGTGGGTTATAGTAGGTTTCCAGGTGCCCTGGTGGTGCAGTGGTTAAGTGTTCAGCCATTAAAAGTAAGGTTGGCAGCTCAAATCCACCCAATTGCTCCATGAGCTAAAGACCTGGCAGTGTGCTCCAGTAAAGATGTAAGGCCTAGAAAACCCTGTGGGGCCGTTCTCCTCTGTTACGTGGGGTCGTATGAGTCTAAATTGACTCAGCGACACCTAACAATGGAAGCGTAGCAGTTCTTATTTGGTGTAAGCCTTGGACAGTTCTGTGAGGTAGGATAGATATATGCATGCCATTTCACAGGGAGCTAGCAGAGCTTACCCAAGGTCACACAAGATCACAAGGGATCAAGGTGGGCTTAACCCCACTGTATTCCATGTCCGCATGACTCCAGGTCCACATCAGGTCATGGAGATGAGGCGAGGAGAAAGCACAGCTTACCATTCTTATGGACCCCTTCCCTTCTTCCCTCCAGGGGGTGCACTATAGCTATCTAGAGCTGAGCCTTGGAGAGCCTGTGCAGGAGGGGGACCCTCGCTTCCGCAGCACCCTGACAGCTCACCCGGTGCGTGACCCTGTGCACATGTACCAGCTGCACAAGGCTTTTGCTCGAGCGGAGCTGGAGCGCACGTACCAGGAGATCCAGGAGTTGCAGGTACGGTCTGGTCTGAGGTCAGGACCTCAGGGAGATACAAAGTGAGCTCGAGAATCACAGAGCTAACCTACCTCCAGCCCTTCTCTTTCCACCTTCCTCCAGGGAACCCCAGCAGAGCTCCCCACCCCCACATTTAACTCTTAGACTGCCTCCATCTGGTCAAAAGTGGGTGGATGGCCTGGGTGGGTAGAAGTTGGCAGGGGACGAGGGAGTCATCCTGCATGGTGCCTGCCTGCCCACTTCCCCAGCTGCGGCCCCCAAGGCCTCTGCCTTGCTTATGACTCATTTTCCAATCCAGTGGGAGATCCAGAACACCAGCCGCCTGGCAGCCGATGGTGATCGGGCAGCTGCCTGGCCCGTGGGCATCCCAGCCCCCTCCCGCCCAGCCTCCCGCTTTGAGGTGCTGCGCTGGGAATACTTCACAGAACAGCATGCTTTCTCCTGTGCCGATGGCTCACCCCGCTGCCCATTGCGGGGGGCTGACCGAGCTGATGTGGCCGATGTTCTGGGGGCAGCCCTGGAGGAACTCAACCGCCGCTACCATCCTGCCCTTCGGCTCCAGAAGCAGCAGCTGGTTAATGGCTACCGACGTTTTGATCCTGCTCGAGGGATGGAGTACACACTAGACCTGCAGCTGGAGGCGCTGACCCCCCAGGGTGGCCGCTGGCCCCTCACCCACCGGGTGCAGCTGCTCCGGCCGCTGAGCCGGGTGGAGATCCTGCCTGTACCCTATGTCACCGAGGCTTCCCGTCTCACTGTGCTGCTGCCTCTAGCTGCGGCCGAGCGGGACCTGGCACCCGGCTTCCTGGAGGCCTTCGCTACTGCAGCACTGGAGCCTGGTGATGCGGCGGCCGCCCTGACTCTGCTGCTGCTGTATGAGCCCCGCCAGGCACAGCGGGCGGCCCACGCAGATATCTTCGCACCTGTCAAAGCCCACGTGGCAGAGCTGGAGCGGCGGTTCCCTGGTGCCCGGGTGCCCTGGCTCAGCGTGCAGACGGCAGCCCCTTCACCCCTGCGTCTCATGGACTTGCTCTCCAAGAAGCACCCTCTGGACACGCTGTTCCTGCTGGCCGGGCCAGACACGGTACTCACGCCTGATTTCCTGAACCGCTGCCGTATGCACGCCATCTCGGGCTGGCAGGCCTTCTTTCCCATGCACTTCCAGGCCTTCCACCCGGCCGTGGCCCCGCCGCAGGGCCCTGGGCCACCAGAGCTCGGTCGTGACACAGGCCGCTTTGATGGCCAGGCGGCCAGTGAGGCCTGCTTCTACAACTCCGACTACGTGGCAGCGCGAGGGCGGCTGGCAGCGGCCCCAGAGCAGGAGGAGGAGCTTCTGGAGAGCCTGGACGTGTATGAGCTGTTTCTGCGCTTCTCAGGCCTGCATGCGCTTCGAGCAGTAGAGCCCGCGCTGCTGCAGCGCTATCGGGCACAGGCATGCAACGCGAGGCTCAGTGAGGACCTGTACCAGCGCTGCCGCCAGAGCATGCTCGAAGGCCTTGGCTCCCGCACCCAGCTCGCTCTGCTGCTCTTTGAGCAGGAGCAGAGCAACAGCACCTGACCCCACTGGACCACCCGGCCCAGCTGTACCGGCCAGGTCCTCCCTAATAACCGGAAGCCACCTGCCAGCCTCAGGCCCCAGGGCAGCCATCAGCACCCTCTCTGGCTCTGTGGGTCTCCAGGCTCAGGACAAACCCAGGAGGAGCTCTCCTCCAAGCCACCCTTTCCTACTCCAGCCCATCTCCCTGCCTCCTTGACGCTGCTGATTTGGCTGTGGCCTTGGAACTTGCAGTTCAGTCTGCCTGACGCCAGCCTGCCTCCTGGGGGTCGTCCTGTCGCGCAGGGGCTGGGCTGTAGATGAGTTGTTGGAGAAGGGGGGAAAGAAGGGTAGGGGCCTCTCCCGACCTCTTCCTTCTGGACTCCTGATGAAATCCCTGCCTTGAATAAAGAGGCTGAGCGTGGACTGGTAGTTCTGAGATTGTGGAAGGTAGTGGGGCGAGGGGAACAGAACCCTGGGGTGGTTGGCAACCCAACTAGTAACGGAAAGGTTGGTGAGTCAAACCCACGTAGCAACACTCTAGGACAAAGGTCGGGCAGTCCGCTTCTTTGAAGAGCAGCTAAGGAAACCCTGTGGAGCTGTGGGGCTATTCTCTACCAGAAGGGGCTGCCGCCATGAGTCAGACACAAGTGAGGGTAACAGGTTGGGTGCTTTGGTTTTGGCCTGTGGGGAACCATACGTGTTCCCTTGTCCCTGCTGAGCCTGGATTTCTTCTTACCGAGGAGTCAGGTGTGTGCCCAGCCCAGCCCTGGCCCAGCACATACTAAGTCAACACACACAGAATTCTCTATGCGCCTTTATTCCCAATTTTGGCAGCATTTTATAAAACCAGACCAGAGAAGGGAGGCCTAAGAAGGCTCCCATCCCCACCCCTGAAGCTCAGCCAGGGTCTGAAAGGTCACCTGCCCACTCCCTGTGGAGAAAGAGGTGGGGTGGGGCAGGGGGAACTGGGAGCTGGGCCAGGCCTGCTGGGTCACCCACTCTTTCTGCCAAGAGGGGAGCTGGGCCCGGTGAGGGGCAGGAAGCAGGATGGCTCAGCACTCCTGTGTCCTGGGAGCGCTCCCCCTCTCCTGCTGACACTCATATTGGGACCCTGGCTGTCCCTGAATCACCCCTCCCTGTAGCCCACCAGCCTCCTATATCTGTACCCTGAAACCCCACCCTATTCTCCCCAAATATATACAAATGTACAGAGGGTTCCACCCCTGCTAGGGTAGGCTCCTTCCTCTACCTTCCTCTCCATGACCTCCAGCCCTCCCTGGGCACCAGTCTGGGGATGGGCAGTGCAGACAAGAAGGACCCTTGTGCAAACAGCTGGCACTAGGGGTGGCTGAGAGCAGGAACTGAGTGTCCAGCCTCCCAGAGAGCACCCCTCTCCCCCTACCCACAGCCTTGGACTGCCCCCAGGCCTTGAGGTCTCAGGAGCAAGAGAAGATGTTGGGAGTCTGGGAAGAGATCCCAGACTCCTGGGTCCTTTCAGACATAGCACGGTCCTAGCAAGCGAAGTCTTCAAAGAGGCCTCCTGGCGGGCCATGGGGGTGGTGGTGGTTGGGGAGCAAGCTGCTGGCCCCGCCGCCCTCAGCATGGCCACGGCTAGGGCAGGGACTCTGTGAGGCCAAGAGAAAATGGGACAGGGGCACTCAAGAGGTGCCCCACCAAGCCTTGCTTAGCACCTTCATTTTCCATGGACAGCAGCCCCCCAAAACTGGTTCTGGTGCGGTAAGGCAGGGGTGGGGAGAGTGAGGCAAGGGGTGTGGGCTGCAACTGCAGGGTCCTCCTCACCTGTTCCTTCAGCTCCTGCAGCCCCAAGGTGGAGATGCCCCCAGTGGAGGTCCTCACAGGGGTCTTGGGGCGACGCCATACCCTCTTTAGTTGGTCCCAGGACACCTTGAGGTTCAGGGTCAGGGAATGGCAAGGGGCTCAGGAAACTTGGTAGATGAAGGAGGGCTTTCCAGGACTGCCTTAGAGGACTTGCTGCCCTAGCAGACCCCACTAGGACTTCCCCATCCTTCTACTGGTCCCCTCTCCCTGATTCTTCAGAGCCCTCAGGCCTCCCAGCCAATCAGAACCCTGGCAAAGAACTTGAGCCTGACTTCCCCACCCAGGAAGCCTGTTCCTCAGCCTTCACAAAGCCTTCCTCCACTCCCTCCCCGCTAACCCTGACTGAGCCCCCCCCGCCCCCCCGCAGGTCTCCCATCCTTACCTCATAGATGTAGTCGAGGATCTCTAACAATGTCAGGATGCTGGCCCCAATAAAGAGGCCCATCTGTCCCCCAAGGTCACCTGGGAGTAGGAAAGCAGGGTCAGAGGGAGGGTGCTGAGCTGACCCACTCTTAGGGGAGTCGGGGGTGGGGGGTGGGAGGGGTGAGCGGGCAGGCAGCAGCCAGGCCTTACCCAGCAGGGCTGACAACCCATAGGCTGCACGCTGCTCCATGGCCTCAGAGGTTAGGGCCTCAAAAAAGACATCTAGGACCAGGAAGTTCTCCCTGTGGAGACCGGAAGCAGGGTATCCATGGAAGCACATTTCCTTAGGAAATGGCTGATGGGTAACCCCCTCCCAGGAGATCCTTCTGCACCAGGAAGCTGGGGATCACCCCTTCAGGCTTCCTAAGGCTTGAGGGAAGGGAGTCCCAAATGCACAGTCCCCTCAGATTTTGAGTCAAAGCTGAGGGCTCAGGAGAGCAAAGTCAAACTCCTGAGCCTGAAGGGTTCCCTTCTGCCTCCTGTCTAAAGCAGATAACACTGTTCACTTGGCCTCATCCTTATGCCTCTTTAGGACCTTCAGTAGCTCCCTGCTGCCCAAGAGTCCGCTTTTCTTCAAGACTTTCAAGGCTGCCAGTGATCTGGTCCCATGGTTCCCTCTATTCCAAACTTCTGTCCTCCACTCAGATTGGGTTCCACTCCATTCCACCAGATGCTTCCCTTCTTCTTCCTTTCGCAGAGCTAAACCCAGGCTACCCAGCTCATGTCTCCCCACATGAATCTCTGCTGGAGTCTGAGAGTCAGCCCTGTACCATCAGATGGGGCTTACTCACAAACTGCATCATGGGTTTGGGGTCACAACCATGTGATCACAGGACCCCTCACTGGCCTGGCAGCCGGGAGGTAATCAACACCTGTGGGCTGGTGGCAATGGACCAGACACACGGCTTCCTGTGGCCTTGGACAACACGCTATTCCACCCGCATCCTATCGAAGTCCCCTCCCTAAAAACTGCTGTCACTTGACATGCGTTTAATAAATCCCGAGTTGCACTGGGATCTTTGAGAACTAAGGTGTACCTGACCTAAACCATGGTATTTTCGGTTGTCTCACATGCATGTAAAAGCTGGACAGTGAAGAGGAAAGACCGTTGAAGAATTGATGCATTTGAATTAGGGTGTTGGAGAAGAATAGTAAAAGTACCACGGACTACCAGAAGAACAAGCAAATCTGTCTTGGAAGAAGTACAACCAGAGTGCTCCTTAGCAGCCAGGATGGCGAGACTTTGTCTCTCATACTTGGAACATGTTATTAGGAAGGACCAGTCTCTGAAGAAGAACTTGCTTGGTTAAGTGAAGGGTCAGCGAAAAAGAAGACTCTCAACAAGATGGATTGCCACTGGTACCACAATGGTCTCAAACAGTAATTGTGAGGATGGTGCAGACCCAGCAAGTGTTGTGTTCTATTGTACAGAGTCAGTGTGAGTGTGTGTGTGTTGGGGGGGAGGGGTGCACATAACAAGTGGTTCTAAATCAGTGGAATAAATGCAGCCGTGACAGAGATATGTACAAGTTTCTGTGGAGCCTCAGAGGAAAGACCTCTGGACGGGGAAGAGCTTCCCTAGACGTAGAGACCCGGATGAGACAAGGATGGGTTGGGGTTGGTGAGAAGAAAGGCAGTGTGGAAGGCATTCTGGCCAGAGGACTCATGAATACAGTGTAGCCCGGCCCCGGTCTCCACCACATGAGCACACACACACATGCACACATACCGTATATAGGTCTCGTTGCGGTTGTACTTCCTTGCCAGGTACCGGGCTGAGCCCCGGTTGGGGATCCTGACCATGGAGATTTCTTTCCCGTAGCGGGTCAGGTTGCAAGGGGTAGGGCAGAAACACGGGCCCTCAGATCCCCCACCCAGGGAGTCTGCAACACAGAGGTACCAACTGCAGTGAGGAGAGGGTGGGCTCCAGGCCCACAAGCTATAGGGAGGAGGCACGGGGGTTGTCCTGAGGCCAACACATCCACACTGAGGGCCTCTACTGGCCAGCCCTGAGACTGCCTGGAGAGGCTGGCTGGGGGCCTTCTGGACCAGCTTCAGACTACCCAAGAAAGTAAGTATGGGAAGAACCCTCCAACATCCTTGAATAGACTTACTCCTCTGCTCTTTCAGCCCCCTGGGGCAGGGAGACCCTCATGGCTCTGAGAGAGGATAGATCCCACCCACAAGGAGACTTGAATGGATGTGTAGGAGGAAGGATGGATGGATGGATGGCAGCCAGATGGGTTTTCCTTACTCACATAGATAGCCAGCACTGACCTCTTCTTGTGGTCAAGAGAGATGTTATTGCATTTCCCCATCAAGGGCTAGCTCATTCACTGAGCCAAGACCAAAGCCCAGTCCTTCAATCCCCGGCCTGCCTCAACTTATTCGAGTGTCTTACCTGCAGAGGCCCAGGTCCTCAGACCCCCTGAGCTATGGGATTAGGCTCTCCCCACAGGAACAACCCTTGAGGGGAGAGAGGGAGGAGCAGAGCAGAACCCAGGAAGTAAGGAGGGGGATGGACGATGGACAAAGAACTGAAGAGGGTGAGGGAGGCAAGGGAGCAGGTAGCACGGACCCAGTGTGTGGTCAGCACACTCGATGTAGATATTGGGTGGGCAGATGGTCTCATTGCCTAAAAGGAGAGAAAATTATTCCTGGGGTCTCTCTGGTCCTTTCCCTGTCTCTAGTCATATGCCCATATGGACACACACATGCACAGATGAAATTGTACCTTCATGTATGTAAACACACAAAGACATACACACATATCTGTGACACGACACCCCCCATCTGCACACATACACAGCTATATGCAAACACATGACCCCCACAAATACACACACACATAAGTACATAACATGTGTATGCAAAAATACGTATTCACATGAACACAGATACATGCATGTGTGCATTCCCATGTGCATATGTGGAATATGCGCTGAATCCCACACACATCCGCATGCACATATGGATGTAGACACGCACACATGCATCTGCCCGAGCACACAAGCAGTGTTCTCCCCCAGGTTCCAAGCAGGGCGTGCACACCTGGCATGTGCACCATCCGGCAGTGGCAACGCTGCAACACGGCCTTCTTTTCACAGCGCAGGCGGCAGGCTGACACGCTGTAGGCTGAGTAACCCTGGAGCTCCGGCTCCCATAGCTCACTGTCTGCCCGGCAGTTACCCCAGGGCTGAGGCAGATAGGTCAGCTGCAGAGACAGGACAGGATAGGATCAGGCCCAGGAGTCTTGTAGGCCCTTCAGTGCCCACAACTCCAGCAGTGTCAGAGTGAGCTGACAGGCTATGGGAATTTGTAGGATAGGTCTGGCAGTGACCAACCCTGGGCACAGCAGGAGCTGCCTACCCGATGTTCCTGGCAGGACACAAAGGTCTGGAAGCCTGGGGACACGCCGAAGCCCAGCTGGTGGATGTAGGGTGGCTCCTCCTGGCTGTGGATCTGCACCCGGATGCCAGCCTCAAACGAAGTTTCATCTGTGCAGGAGAGATGCGGACCTGTGGAAACCCCTCCCAGGCACTGGGCCTGCACCTGAGCCCCCTTGCCCGCCTGCATACTTGTCTCCCTCCAGATGGGCAGATACTCCTCCTGCTGAATGTCCAGCATGATCTCTAGGCCGCTGCCCATGCCTCCCGCCCGGCTGGGCAGTGGGCTCTGTGGATCCGCATTGAAGGTGTAGCACTTCCCATAGCGAGTATAGACCTGGAGGGAAGAGGAAGAGGGGGAGTGATGGAAGGAGGGCCTGAGTTCTCCATCCCCTGTCTGAGCCCCTACAAGCCTCCACCAGACTGACCTAATCACCACTGTCCCTAACCCAGTCCCTTCCCTGAATGCCATTTTCCCCACTGGCATCCTCCTCTGTGTGTGTGTGTTGTGTGCCATTGAGTGGATTTCAACTAATAGTGACCCTATAGGGCAAAATAGAATGTCCCCATAGGGCTCCCTAGGCTGGGATCCTCATGGTAGCAGACAGTCACATCTTTCTCCACACAGTGGTTGGTAGATTTGAACTACTGACCTTTATGTTAGCAGCTGAGTGCTCAACCCTTGCATCACCAGAGCTCCTTCCTCCTCCAACTTATATCAATACTGGAACTCTGGCTATCTCCCAAAACCTGTCCCCTACCAGTCTCCTTCTGAGTAAAGGGTCCCACTGTCTACCCAGTGGTGCTGTAAGATAAGCACTGGACTGCTAACCACAAGATCAGCAGTTCAAACCCGCCAGCTGCTTCTCAGAAATCCTATACAGGGTAGCTATATGTTAGAACCAACTCCACAAGCCTTACCAATAACAACATCTACCCAGTTCTTCAAGCCAGAATTCCTTAATTCCCTCTCCCTCACCCCCACATCCAATACATCAGCTATCTGGAGAAAATTCACGTCAGAAATATGGTTAGACTCCATCCACCAGGTCCCCCTATTCATTGTCATTTCCCACCTGGACCTGGGTGGTGGCCTCCTAATTGGCCTCCCTTCTTGCCCCTCTCTGAGCCCTGTGTGTCAGAGCAGAACTGCGCTTTATAGGGTCTTCAAAGCTATGGCCTTTCGGAGGCAGATCAGCAGGCCTGTCTTGTGAGGCACATCTGGGTGAACTTGAACCTCAACCTTTCTGTTACTAGGTGAGCCTGAGCCCCTATTGTCACTGGGGACTTCCCTTCAAATGCTAAATCAGGCAAGTCACTCACTTAACTGTTGCTTGACACCTAACAACAGCTTCCCAATTCCCTCAGGAAAAAGGCCTATGAGTTTCCACAGAAGTGAATCTGCTTCACAGAGAGCCACTTGGCTTCAGATCTCTGTGACAAATCCTAAGACATGGGCCACTCTCCTTCCCTCCTCAGAGGCCCGGTTCCTGCTGCTCCCTTTCCTGGAAGATTGCCTCCACAATTGTTCATCTCTGAAGCTCTGGTTAATCAAGTGTCACCTCTTCAGACACAAATGTGCATGGTGTCACCTTCCACTTTTACTCTTCTGTTGGTTTGCTTCAGATACTTCTCATGACCAGAGATGATCTGCTCATTGATTCATCTTCTTGATCATTGTCACTAGCATGTGTGTTGTCCAGGTGCAGCGAGCCCATGTGATGTCCCTTGCCCAGTCAGCCCTATATTAAAAGGGTGCTTTAATATTTCCTAGACATGCTGGAATGCTATCTGAAAGACTAGAGATTCAAGGCCACCCAGAGATGACTTGGAAGATAGGTCTGGTAATCTACTTCAGAAAAACCAGCTACTGAAAACCCTGTGGGAACAAACTGAATGCATTGAACGAAAAAAGCCAACTGATGCCACTGAACAATTTGTGCAGAAATTGTCAAAAGGGAACTTAATTTGCTGTGTAAGCTTTGGCGGCAAACACAATAAAATATATTTTTAGACAGTGTTGCTAGATTCATGTTACCCACATACTGATTCTGTTATGATGTTATTGTTGTTAAGTGCCTTCGAGTTGGTTCTGACTCATAGCGACCCTGTACAGGGTTTCCAAGAAGTGGCTGGTGGGTTTGAATTGCCTATCTTGGGGTTAGCAGTCCAGCGCTTATCCTACCGCACCACACCAGGACTCTGGTATATAAGATTTTAATGGTCAACAAACACAGAAAGTGGAAAAATCTGGGGTGAAAAGAAGAAAAAAAAAAATCTCATGGAGCACAATTTGACCCTTGCACATATGGGGTCGCCATGAGTCGGAACAGGTTCTGGTTTAAAGACGCTACTGCAGCACTGGAAAGTCCTGGTGTGGCGTTGTAGGATAAGCGCCAGATCTCAAGGTCAGTTTGACCAGCAAGGTCGGTAGTTCAAATTCACCAGCTGCTCCCTGGAAACCTTAAACAGGGTCACTACGAGCTGCTGACAACTGCAGCACAGCACGAGTGTAATCCCGCCAGCTCCTTTTTCCTTCTGCGGAGAGTTCTCCCCTGTGGACACCAGGTGGCGGTGGCGCCCCGGAGATGGCGTTGAGGATGGGGATGGAGGGGGCGTGGTTGAGGGAGAGGCCAGTGCTAGTTTCTCAGCCAGCCTCATCTCCCACAGAGACAAGGTCCGGGTCAAACCCATCACAGGCAGCACCTTCCCTGGGGGCCTGGGGTCGGCGCACTCAATCACTGTGTCTCACTCCTCCTCACCTTTCCTTGGGAAGATTTTCACACTGGTAAAACCTGGGAGAAATGGCATGGTGACCTGGTGAAGGGAAAAGAGATCCTAAATGTCCAGGTTCGGAAGAATGTAAGAGGGAGATTGGCTGAGTTGAGGGCAGTAGGGGGTGAGGAGTTCTGTTGTAGGGTAGGATTCTATCTCTACCACGCACTCACCCACCCATACCTTCACACAGTTCTGTCATCCAAACATCCTGCTCAGACTCCTAAAACAAAACTATGTATTAATAAGACCCTTGAAGTTTACAAAATGTGGCTATATCCATCAACTACTACCCCATTTCATCTACTCAACAACTCTGAATTACCCTAGTTATTACGAGGAAACCAAAAGAAAGCTCAGAGAAGTAAAGTGACTTGCCCAAGGTCACACAGCAAGCAAGGAAGTTGAGACTCATTTAGATGCAAGGTTCAAATCATTCCCACAACCAAAGGCTAGCACTCCTGTCCCCAGTCTACCTCACCCTAAGTCCAGCTGGAACCAGCCAGGAGTGTGGCTCAAAGCCCTTCTCCTTTTTTCCTGTTCCTCTTTCCAATTCACTCCACTCCAGTGCACCTCCTCAGTCTTTTGTCTTCATATCTGCTGCTTTCTGTTCCTCACTTGTCTCTCCCCTCCTCCCCACTGCACCCTCAACAGCTTCTGGGGGTTTCAGTCCCTGCCTCTGTCTGAACTGGCCCTACCCCAGTCCCCTGCCCAATATGGCCCCCGCTCGAGAGCTCGAGAGAACATCATACCATCCCTTTACATGAAGCCAGTGAAGTTGGTCCACTTGTAGACAGGTGGGGCCTGTGCTGTGTCCAGGACTAAATGTTCAGCAGCTCATCCAATGGAATCCTCACAACCTCTCTGTTGTTGTTGCTGCTGTTAAGTGCCATTGAGTCGGTTCCGACTCATAGTGACCCTGTAGGGTTTCTGAGGAGCAGCTGGTGAGCTTGAACTGCTGACCTTGCGGTTCAAACCCACCTTACAGTCCAGCTCACTAACCCGCATCGCCACACCAGGACTCCACAACCATTCTAGGGGCTTGGTATTATCATCTCCCCCTTCTACAGAAGAGGAGATAGAGGCTCAGAGAGTTAGGCTGATCTGCCATGGACTCTAACTTCAGTGCTTCTCAAAGTTTAATGTACACATGACATAAGTGGGGGTCTTATTAGACTGCAGATTTGGATTCAGCAGATGTGTGTGTTTGGGAGGTGGGCATGAGGGTCTGCATTTCTAACACCCTGCAGGTTAAGTGGACCCCACTTGGAACAGATGGAAGGGCAAGAGTTCAAGGAAGACAGCCTGACTCTAGACTTGTGCTCTTACAACATGTCACTAAGAGAGAAAAGGGAACCCTAAGATGGACTGGGATTGGATTCCTGGATCCCCATTCATGTGGGAAATCCATAAGTACTTATGCATTTATGTATTATCTCAAAGCATCCACCTTCTTGCTACTTCAGACCAAGAAGATCTTGGGACCAGCTCTTGCTGCTGATGCACTGTTTTCAGGTGAGAGGATAAACAAGGCCTGGGCTTTATGGGGGACCCAGCCTGTGAGCTGCTTTTCTTCTTGTGTTCCTTCAGTGTTCAGTATCACCTTAATGGGAATTTCCCAAAGCATCCCTGGTGCCTCAACATAATGTACAGAAGAGGCAGGTGATTGTGGGGGACAGAATGAACACTAGCAAGCATCCCCACTTTCTACCAGGTCCTGTACAAGGTACTTTTGATCTATTTTCTCTTTTGAGCTTCCTATGAAAACCACTGTGAGGTAGGTATTGTTGCCCCATTTCATGATGAGGTCACCGAAGTTCAGAGAGGGACAGTAACTTGTCTGAGGGCACACAGCAAATAAATGCTGGCTGAGATTCAAGCAGGACTGAGTCTGATGCCAAAGATCATTGAATACATTTGGTGCTTATAAAACACTTGGTAGTGGTCAGTGAATAACTGACTCTGGTAGGCTTCTGGCCTTGATTGTGGCTGGAGCAGCCTCCCCACCTCCTACCACCCACAGACACACGCTGCACAAAACTGTGTCCAGAGCCAATGGGGGAATACCTAGATTTGGGGGTGGTTACCTAGCACCCTGCCTTGAGGTGGTTGTAAAAAGTGGGGGTGACAAGAGGCGGTGGCTAAAAGGAGTCTGATGCTGAGAGACACTGGCAGGGAGTGGACAGGCTAGGCCACCAGCACAGCCTGGGTCAGGCCTGACTGCTGGGCAGAGCACAGCGTTGCCCCGGAGACAGTCCCCGGGCCAGGCAGGCAGCAGTGGGTGTAGCCCACTTCTAAGTGACAGAACTCTGGTGGCGGCACAGCCTGCAGTCTCTTCCATGGAGACGGCACGCCACTCAGCCACCAGGTCCCACTGGCTATCCACTGCTTACTCCCTATGGACCACCGAAAGGGGGTATGGGCAGGAGTTGAAAGTCTGGGACCCAACCATGGAAAGCAGCAGGTCAGGGAGTGCTGAGGGACCAAGGGTCTAGCTCTGGATCAACAGCCACAACCTGGTGTCAATGAAGTCTCCACCCCTGTGGACCACAAGGTCAGCAG